TGAAGGATAGGACACCTGCGGGCATGCCAAAGCTGCCTTGTCAGTGTTTGGGGCAAAAGATGGAATCTGGGATTTTGGCATTGGGCTGCTGTGTACTGCCTCCAGTTTTATTGCTGGTTTCTGTGTTTAAAGCTGTGCCAAACACTTTCTGTGAGACTAATCCATACAGTTTCTCTATTGAACAGTATTTCCTGACGTTCATCCTAAATTTGTTCTCAATTCTAGTCTGTAGCTAATTATTCCTTCTCCTCCCTTGGTTCCTTCAACTATTTTTGTGTTCCTAATTAGGGGAAAAGAGAAAAATCAATCTCTAAGAAAAATGGAACTTACTTAAAGTAAGTATCACGCATACCTAGTTAATTACTTAACATTTGGCATGAAAGCATCTCACAGTGGGAAAGCAGCAATTTCCTTTTTTTCGTGTTGTTTTATTGTTCTCCAAGTGCCAAAGCTAGCTGGTACTGTCAGGAAAAAACCTAAATTGACCATCATGCAATGCATTCCCTCAGTGTACCAGAGGTATGTAATAAGGTTTAAAAAAAAAAAAAGTTCTAATCCTCATTCCATTTCTTTCCATTAAAGGAGAAAACTGTAGCATTTACTTCTCTGTGTAATATTTCTCTCTAAGATCCTCTGCAAATACATGCAAAAGAAAGCATAACTTTGAAGTACTGATAATGCTGACTACCTACGCGTGACACTAGTGTAATAATGCAGGTACAACTCAAACCTAAGGACAGATTCTTCACCTGCAAGAAGCTGTCCTGACCCAGTGGATTCCTTACCCAGTGGTGACCTTTGTTCCTTACCTCACCTAGCCCAGACAAACTGGATGGGGTAAGCCACATGCCGTGCTCAGGCAGGTGGTAGAGCACTTCTGTACATGAGGATGACTTCACTGTAAACACAACTACATTGGATTTTCAGCTCCATAGTACTATTTTAGAAAGTCAATGTGAGTTGGGGACTGTAACAGTTAATTACTCAGATGATTTTAGACAAGACAGCCTTTTGCAGCACCCCAGCATTAAAGCTTTGGTATTTTAGGAGGCTCCACCTCATAGCTCAGAAGCTTTGATACAGAGATGCTGTCTACCTGATGTACTTTGATAGGAGACATGAAACTTTAAGATGCATAATTTCTTTTCACTCTGAGCAACTCCAAGAAAACATTCAAAATCTTGCTTCCAGTGTAAAGCTGACTAAATTGCAGTATTTCACCTTCCTGATCCTGTCAGTCCTTTTTACAAGGATGTCATTTCCACCAGTTAACTTTTTCTCATGTACATGACAGTTACTTCTATTCTACACAGTCCCCTCTGTTAAAAATCATCATGTACTCATAAATAAATTTTTTGTGCTACTTCAGACACTATGCACCTGCTACTATTTCCCTCTCTCCATCTACTTACTTTGGTATTCCCTTAATGTAGTACTTAGGTACCTTTTTTTTTTTCCTGAACACAATGTTTCTGACTGCATCCACTTTAAAAGAATCCTCATGTTTCAGTGCTTAGAACACTGCACAAGGATTCACTGGTTGTGGTGAACCATCGTGTATATTCATTTGGTTCTCATTTAATAACACTGAAAATAGTCTGGATTAAATGCAGAAAGATTCACAATTAAGAGTGCAGACCCCTGTGTGAAGCTATAATTCTTCTTGTGAACACGAACTTTTAACTACAACGTGCAGGACACTGTCATTCTCCATATAATTTCCTCAGTGTTTTATGAAACAAATAGGAAGTAAAGAATTTTTTTTGTATTATCAGTTATCCTCCCTAATTTTTGTCCCAAGGAAAACACATTTTGTCTAGAAACACTATTAACTTTCACACAAAACCAGTCTATCAGAGTTTGATTATCCAGAATGTGCAATATGAAGAGATCACTCAGTTTGACAACAGTGCATGTTCTCTCTGAGGACTTTTACCAAACTCTGTACTGTTTTCAAATTAGTTAAGCTGCCAGGCTAGTGGGGTTCAAATACTTCAGTATCTGTAAAGGCAACAGAAGTATCTGTGGTGGGGCATTAAATACACTGGAAATCAACTCTCTACTCTGATCTTAGCTATGTAACTTGAAGTTGTAGTAATTTCTTTCTATAACACACCCATCTTTGCTTCTGTGTTTCTTATTGCAATAAAACGCCTGAAATATTAAACATACAGAAGAATTAAATTAGAATTTGTAAACGAGCAATAATATTATTCTGTCTTCAATGTTCTAAATCCTTAAAGTTCAGCTTAAATAAACGTCATGTACCAGCTCCTTAAACAGCGTTAGCAATGTAAACAGCATTTAAAAATGCAAGAAGTTCAACTTTATAAAAATTACATCTGCAGGCTGTTAAAGGAGAATCTGCAAGAAATGTCAAACAATACTGTTCCTTGTGTACTCCACTGAAATAACAAAAAAGTTGCATCTGGAAACAGTTACTGGCACAGGACTTAAATAAAGTATTGAGTTACCTTTAATGAACTAAATATTATTAATCAAGAGCTAGATATAACAGTGTGCCATCTAGCTGGCTTATAACTCAATTAATTTACCTTCTTGGGAGATGACAATGGACTTTGATGATTTGATGGTTTTGCTGTCTAGAGTCCAGGTGACAGCTGCAGGGGGATCAGAGGAAATCCGACATTGTAAGACCAATTTTTCACCATCTACTACTTGAGCATCCTGAAGCTTCTCTGTAAAGGAGGGTGCTGTTCCTTTGCTTGCTGGTGGTTTGCTTGCTGTTGTTTTGTTTTCAGCTTTTTTCCCAATTATTCCGCCATCCACCACTGCGCACCCATGTTCACAGTTTCTGTCATTCTTCTCTTCTTTTTTCACTGCTGGTTTGGCAACAGGGGCTTGAGAATTGGGAGTCGCGTTCTGGGCTTCAGAATTGGTGCGGGCATTTGGTGCTGGGGTGCTAGCGCTGCCATTCTCTGCAGGTGGCTTTTTCTTTGAGCCCAGCACAGATCTGAAATCTGTAATGGCTGGCTTAGGAGGTGGCACCTTCTCTGGCAATGGGGTTTTTGGGGTGCCTTTCTTGGCCAGCACAGAGCGGAAGTCCACCTGCTGAGGAGCATGAACTTTCCTTTCCTCCTCTGACAAGGTCTTGGGTTTGACCTGCCGCTGCAGGTTTGCTCGGAAGTCCATTTGTTCGGCTGGGATTTCTTTCAGTTCCTCCTCAGAAAAACTTTTGGTGCTGACTTTCTTGCCTAAAATGTCACGGAAATCAAGTTGCTCAGCTTCCTGCTGCCTCAGGCTCTCCTCTGTGTGTTCCCGAGTTTCCACTCGCCTCTTCAGCACACCTCGGACGTCTTCCTGCTCTTCCTCAGCTGCTCTGGTTTCACTGCTGTTCTTTTTGAAGCCACTTGTTCTACCAAATGTTAGTTTACCATGATCTCCACCATCTCTTTGCTCTCCAGAGCTGGCTGATTCCCTCCCACTATGATCCGAAAAAGAAAAGAAAGAGAGAGCCAGGAAAGGGGCTGGTTTAAAAATGTCAGGGAACAATCTCAGAGCAGGAACAAAATGTGTTTATAGAAGGGGAGGTTGATTAGAGGAGCACACTCCATTAGTTTATTGCATCAATGATGACTTCAGGAGCCATATAAGGGCACAAACAAAAAAGATCTTCTCTACTCTGGCTTGGTACAATGTGCTTAGCATGTATGATGAAAACAATTTGTTGGGTCACATTTGGGGATTAGGTTGAACAGCAGCCAGCCTGGGTCTGTAAGGGCAGGGAATTAACGGAGCAAAAAATAGAACCCACCCATGCAAGTCCCTGGGAAAAATACTCACTCTCTGAGCATTTCTGTTCTGGAAGCTGAACTCTCCCGCACCATCAGAGACACCTGGCAGCTGCATTCTCCAACTTGGTTCCTGAAATATTTAAGTGAAATCAGAAAAGCAGAGGTTTCTGCCTCCAAAATTGTAACTTGCCTGAGCTAAGTGATTGTGTGTTGCACTAAAGCAGCTCAAACCCAGTGTGGCATCCTCCTTTCCTATGCCCAGCATTGTGGTGGTTGACTGAGTGGATTTGGTCCCCTTATATTTGGAGCCAAGCTATCTCAAATAGCTTTTACTGATCTGCTGTTGTCTACACTGGGAACAACATACTCCCTGAACAAAAATCAAAGCAATTTACAGAATGAAACAGCTGCAAACAAACAAGCTAAAGGAAAACAAATACAAAAGCTGGAAAATTAAGGCAGAGGAAGGGGCTATTTTGCAAAGTTGAAAATCTTTCCAACTCTGCCTACTGTTTATTTATTCAAACCCAAGCTCTTAAGTTTTCTAACGTTAAGATATTAAAAGCAGGGTCTCATTTCCTTCCCTCCCCCCTGGCCCAACCAATCAGCAAAACCCATCTGCATGGATTGCTCCAGTCTGTACATGTTTATATTAAAAAACATAAAAGTGTCACCATATATGGTGCTGAGTACTTATTCTTCCTTTTGCAGAGGAATACCATGGATGCCTTCTGGAAAGGGCTCCCATTAAAGAATTCATTTAAAGTGCTCCCCCCCACCCCCGCTGCTCCCTCCCTCCCGCGGATATATATCATTCTTCTAGCCCCAAATGGCTCTTCTCCACTTAACACAGGAGATGCCAAAAGCAAAATTTAACTCCCCCAGGGCGGCAGTTGTGTAACTGTTGCCACCGCTCCCCTGAACTGCTATTAAAAAACCAGACCTGAATTGGTTAAAGATATCTTTTATTAGTGAAAACACTTTTGTCCTTCCCAGTTTAAGTTCGTAAATGGACTACAAACTCCTGAATGATTTTTCTTTTTCAAACAAAAACAATTTTTGCTACTGAAAACATTTCCTGGACATGAGCAAAACACATGTGCATTGGGGGGAGGAAGGAAAGAGAAGCAGGTTTTCCTGGCTGTGTTCTGCTTTCCAAAGACTTGCTAAATAAGATCACCTTCACCTCCACGTTGCCCTGAAGTTTAAAATATAGACTCAGGAATTCCTTTCTATTTGTTTGCCATAAACATATTGTCTGGCCTGCTTTTTAAATAGTGCATGAAAATACATGCCTAGATACAGTTCTGTTTGGGTGAATAAACTATAATTTCACCCATTTGCAACTTGCAATGAAGTCTCACAGTAGGCAAGATCATTAACACAGATGCAGCCTTAAGTTATGTCTTTATAATAGCAATTAGTGCCATCACCTTTTCAGATAGATTCCCATTGCTTTCTGTTGCTTTAGAAAATGAAACAGTGGATCAGCCTAACGTGAAAACTGAGCCTTTAACACCAAGAAGAAATTGGTGGGGTTAACCGAACTAAGTGGATAGCAAAGTAAAGGCCCTGCTGGTAGGAACACATCTTATTTGACCTTAAGACCATTAACAACAACAAGGCATAGAAACGTTTTGAACACTTTATATCCAACAGCTCAGAATATGTACGCTAGAAACTGCTATTGAAGGCAATCCATAAGAACAGCACTGAAAGCCACAACCTTAATTTCCTTCAATACAAAAGACTAGAGAACATCTGAGTATCAAACAGAAACTGTCCAGGCAGGAGATGGCAGGAGACGATCCAAGTCAATGCAGAGAGTATTTAACACAGTCCTGCACTGGAGACCTGCCATTCTTACTTCCTCTTATGTGTGACCTCCATTTGGAAGCAAGAGAAATAAAAAGAAGGAAAGACAAATGGAAAGATAAACAGAAACAATTGCACATCACCTCCTTCCAACCCTGACATCAAATGATGGCAGAGTACCAACACTGCTGAAAACCTGTTGTCTTCAACAATGCATTTTGAACTGGACCCTTTTGCCACTATTGAAACTCACAATTTTTTTTTCCTGCTTCTCAGAAGCTTTTAAGAAAAGCAGACATGCTCTGAAACTGCTCAAGTACTTTCTTTCACCAGTGCTACAGTGCTGTTAGCAGGCAGTTGGTTTACCAGAAGATCCCTCCCATAAGTCTCCCAGAGCTCAACTACTCTTCCTTTAGGACTTAAAGCCAATCAAAAGCTGACAATGTAGGAGAAGCCTCGCAAGCTGAAGTATAGACAATTTACAGCATACATCAAATAACTGCTCGGCTTCTGTCATGACTGTATGGCAAAAATATTTGCCTGCAAGAATTGTGTCACCAGTGGGAGAGGTTAAAGTAACAGAGACAGCACTCTCCCAGGAGAGGGATCTAGGAGTACTGAATGTGACCCTGACCGCTGTGAAGAGTAACAGCATTTCTGCAGGACCCGTTTCTGCAATGCATCGTTCCCTTTGCAAATTCTTCACGTATGCAAAGAAGCAAATAAGGAAGGCAAAGTAAACCTCTCTAAACTAAGCTATTTTTCACAGGGTTTGGAAAATAAAGAAGGGGGTAAGAAAGCAGGAGAGCATTTTGTTCCTTCTATTTTTAAAGCCTTGGGAAGCACTTATAACTTATGGCAGCAGTGGGACATAGAAGTACCTAGACGGAGAAATGATTCACAAGGTAGTTTTTTGATCTTAACTATGATTTCTGACTCAAGTGAATGGCTGAAAACTAGACCACTGGATACAAACCTCAAGTCTGTGTGTCGTTCATCATACTCCTGCTCAAAAGCGTAGCCTTCTCAGGGCAAGTTCTGCTCCCAGTGAAATCAAAGTGAGTTTTGTTACTGATTTTAGAAGCAGCGAGAATATAATTTTATCTGCTGAATCAGTTGCAGAGTCTAAAAAGGTGAAGTTAATAACACTGACCCACCTTGGAGATCACAAGATGGAAAAAAAGAAACAAGCCAAGAAAAATTAAGAAGAACTGGATGGTTCAGATGCTAAATTCAATCAGGAATAGTTCTGGAAACTTTGTAAATATTTTTACATTTAGGCAATTTCAGAATCTAGGCAAGGCAAGATACATAGGGGCAGTTAGAAAAAATAGAGCTTTGCAGTACACAAGCACCACTTCAAGTCTTTCACATCTGCTGTTTTGAATCTTGGCAATAACAATGTTACTTCTTCAACTTGAGGTTCTCCATGTTGGCATTTTACCAGCAAAACCCTAGACAAAGACAGGTCTTAGTGGCTCTGTTATTATGGAATAATGATAGACATGGATAAAACCTATGCTTCCTAGCTATGCTGTAAAGAAGTGTCTGGAAGTGTTGACTTTTGCAGGATTGTTCTGTAGAATGCCCATGCACAGGACTTATCTTTAAAATGTCAAGGAATAATAATAAAAAATCCCCACCAAAAACAAATAAAACCCCAGCTGCAAAGCCTGAAGCAATTTTAAAAATAGCTCTCCGTCCTATTGTGGGATCAGTTCTCCCTGGAATGGCTTTTATGTTCAAAATATCTTGAAATACTAGTTTCTTGGCAGAATGTACTCAAATATTTTCACTGAACCTTAGATGAGACTTATTGTCTGCATGTCCCTAGGAAGCACTCTCTGGAGGAAGAGGAAAAAAAGCACTGTTAATTATAGTGTGGGGACACACTGAAATTTCCTACTGGCCTACGAAGTGTGAAACAAGTATTGCAGAGTAGATTACATTTTTAAAAAAATTAACTGAAAGGGGCAAAGAAGTTGATCCCGAGCTATAGCTGGTGCTTCAGTAGGTAACTGCAAAGCCTCAGAATGAGGTTTTGCAACTCTTTTGTGAGCTAATTAAATGGAGAGAAAATACAGACTCCATGAGGCTTTAACCCCAAAGAAAGCAACTAATCTACTGGATCACAACTTTAGCTGACATAAAGCAGAACAGCTCTACTGGCTTCAACGAGGATGCACTGATTTACCTCCCTTGAGAGTTTGGCCAAAATTTTTTATACCTGAAAGACCAATTATTTTATTTGTGTTTTACAGCATTGAGTGGGAGAATGGAATAGAAAGGGGTCATGGTTTTCTTTCCTAAAAACAGACAATGTGTTGATAGCAGAAAACAAGTTTTGCAAACTGTATTTTACAGAAAGACAGAACTATATTTACTGTTTGGTGTAATGGAATGTAATCTTACAACTGCTTTTTATACAACCTGAATTGCAGAGTATTTGAGGTGCTACTGATTTACAAGATGAATGTTTACCTCTGATTTTAATCAGATTATCAAAATCTGTAAATAAGATTAATCAACACTAACCAAAATTTTATGGAAGACTGGGTGGGGAAGAAGATAAATACTCAGCATCTGAGAAGACAAAGGTTAACAAAGCAGACGATTTGTTTAAGGAACTGCAGGAGGATTTCTGAGGTCTCTCTTATTGACTGTGCCGTTATAAAGATAAAGGCTTTGCTCAACAAACACAGTCTCTGTCCAGTACTCCCAATTTCTTTGCTTACCTCTTAATTTACGAGGTACACACTGACTGAAACAACACGGGAAGTCATACTGGGATTAAAAGGATACTAGTGCTTGCATCACCGGAAGGATGCAAAGGACAGGAGGAGGAAAAATCAATGGTTTTCTGAGTCAAAAAACGACTGTTATTTCCCATGTCAATCACGATGGGTTCACAGAGATGCTGACTGATTTCTTATCCCTTAACTGCATGGGCCGGCATTTTGCAGGCAGCAAAGTGTTCAGATTTCAATAGATGAACCACAGTAGTGGATGAATCTGTTGTTCTTTTTATATTTATGCAAAACCATTCCTTGAGGCATGAGCAATAACAGGCTCAATGGAACATTATTAGGACAATTAAGAATGCAAGCGTAGAGGAGTCAGAAGTCTGTGTAGGTTTAAAACAAGGACCAGGAGAGGCTACAATGACCACCCTCTTAAAAGTCAGACTTAGTAGTCTGCTATATAGTAAAAGGCAAAGCAAACATGTATTCTAAATAATGCTGAGGGATGGAAAGACAGAAAGCCAACCAGCAATCATGGATGGATCACACTAGGATCACACTGGGCTGCATACCTTTGTCAGCTCACTCTAATGAAAGGAGAAAGAACTAGGAAGAGACAAATAGATCTTTTATTAAACCAAATTTTTAAAGAGTTTTAATTTGTGAGCAGCCAACACAAAAGGAGAATTGTGGAGATATTAGGACAGAAATTAGAGCTTAAGAACAATGGAGAAGAAAATTGGAAAATAATTAACACTGGAAGGAAACCATGCCCAGACTAAATTAAGGGAGTTGGAGAGGGAATGACTCCCTAAAAGCAGCTATGCAACATGCTTCTAAAATTAATACATAAAAAGGCACCGCACATCTTATTTGAAAATAAAATGATTATGTTTAAAAATAGCCCACTGTCAACTTCTCTATAAACTTTTCAGTGAATTGACTTGTGGTTTCTCAGTTATACCATACTTCTAATGGACTTTGTAGGAGTCTTTGAGAGAAAGACACTAAATGCAGGTCTCCTCCTCTCAGGTAGTTGAGTTTCTGAATATATTAACAATTCTCAATCAAGTATCCAAGACAAATGCAGGCAGATCAAAATCTATTTAGACAAGACTATTTGCTGCTGAAAATTATTTTAGCTTTATTGCAAACTTGAAGTTATACAGCTGACATTTGGTTCCTTGGATATTCCTGAGGCAGTTACTTCTCTGTTGTTCATGGTATACAAGCAATTGCCTAAAAGCATATGGATTTCTGTTCCCAAAACAGTAACTGAAATTTTACAAATGACAGCAGGGTAAAAAGAGCTATCAGCATTCCCCTTGCTCTAACGGCAGCACAGCTTTACTTATTATGGATTAGAATAAGCCAAGATGAATGCACTGATCTTTGTGGGATCCCCAGCTATTTACCCAGTGAAAGGATAAGGGAGTAACCGAAACTAACACGTAACCTGCTGTGTTGTTTTCTAGCTACCACTTTACTTCTCACAACCTGCCCCGCAAAATTGTTCTCCTCTGCTAATTTTCTGAAACAATTTATTTGTAAGTGTACATTCTGTTATGTTCTAGAGTCAAGATATTGTCAGGCTTCCACTTTGACAAATGTCTTCAGTGATGAATTTGGCCTAGGTGACCACCAATTACACCTGATCCCTAAGGTCGACTTGCAAAAGTCAGTACAACAATCTTGCACAAAGCCCTCTTGGCTCTCCTTTGCTCTTCCTGTTCTTCTTCCTTCTTCCACCCCTGAAGTTTTGCTGAAATACCTCATTCTCTTTCAGTTCAAGTGAAACCATCAGAATATCATAAGAGAAGATGCCCATGCCCAGGGCACACACACCGAAGGATGGAAATGTACCAGCAGAAGGTAGCAATTCTCACAGTTTGGCCTGCTCTCTCATGGAGAGGTGGGTGACCTTAACGAAATTGAACTGGCATTTTTAATCCTGCCAGACGTACTGTGTGTTAGATGCCACTGATCCCCGAAGAGACTTTTCTTAGGTGCAAGGATGTATGTAGACACGACCCGCACAAATCAGCATTCTGAACGTCCTAGATCACCTGGGCTGACTGCGAACAAGCCAATTGTTCTGAAATGAGTCAGTTCGCAATTTATTGCAGAATACAGAGTCTAAATCTACTGAACAGCTTATCTGGAAAAAGGTTATGGCACATATGGCTCTACCTACATAAATGTTAGTGATAAGACTTGAAATTAAGTGTAAAAAACTTCATTATGAGAAATCTTGATATACAACAGCTATAACTTTCTAAAGCACCCTTTTCTGCTGAAAAGTGAGTTTAAATACTGACTTTACATCTTTACTGACTTTAAATACTAAAATATACTGAGGCTAGTTTGGGGCTGCCTGCGATAGCCTATGGAAACACACCTTAGAGCTAGGCACCTACACAGTGATGTGTCCGTCATTCAGGCAACTTGGGTTGGGAAATAAGTGATAACTATAAAAAATTAAACTCACTGTTTAGAGACTAAATGGGTTAAATTTATTAAGAAATGCCCTGCTTCCTTGGGTTAGGAAGACATGCAAGCAGGCAAAGGACAATTTAGTTTTTAAATTTTGTACTAGACAAGTATATGAAACAAATATAACTAGTTTATAGCAAAAAAAAAAAAAAAAGGACAAAACCCACCATAAACCAGGCAAGTGCAAGTGGTGCAGAACTGCAATGCTAACACTTCATAACACTGGGCAGTATCTGTCTAAACTGCCTACTGGAGTAGCCCATCTAAAAAGCTAGCGCGTGGAGAAGCGCAGATAACTTTCTTCCAGTGTAATAGATTCAAATGTCTTTGATGCTTAAATAAATTTTAATAAATAAAGTCACAAATATTAGCCAAGTAAGGCAATATACCCACACACAGTAAATAGCATAGAATGATAACATCAGTTTAAGGTTGTACACTAAGTTTTCTATAACTGCATAGGGGATATGTAATTACGCCAAATCATCACCATTGGAGGTAGAAAATGTTGTGGTACTTTCTACAAGGTAAGGAACCAGCAAATCTGATTCTTCATTTAAAGGACAGTTATTTTACCAGGAAAAAAAGAAATTCAAAACAGCTCTTCCAAATTTTGTAGGAATGACATGAAGTTCAAAGCAGCAGAGTGCCTCATTTCAAAGATACACCAGAAAAAGGAGATTCCTAATTCCATATAAAATTCAGACATTACAAACATGGCCAGGAAACACTTTCTCCCCTTAAAGTTATGGATCATAATCTTGTGGAATGGCCTTTCCTGATCAGGTTGCTCCCATGGAAAGCAGGCATCCTTACAAATATCCAGAGAGATGCCAAACATGATAAACAATACCTCCAAAAATCAAGACGTTGATTGTCGTTTCCCTCGCTAGAAACCCAAATTGCTTCCCATACTGCTGCCACAAAGCTTTGTTTTTACGATCCCAAAAGGAAACTTTACACTGCTTTGTCATTCTTTCTGACTCTTCTTGTGTCTCCTCTTTCCTTTTTTGAGTTTTATTAGTTCTTTTCAACCCTCAGAAATATTTTGTTCCTTTATTCCCTTACTGTTTTGTGCAAATAGGAGGGAACTTTTATCTTCTTCAGGTGGGAATTTCAGCTTAAGGATAAATATAACTAATTGTTCCAAGGGAACAAGCTGTTTTCATGGCAAACATACCTGAGCTGAATTTCATATTGTCCTGCATGACGAGACTGCACATTCCTCAAGATCAGTGTGAAGATGTCTTCATTTTGCAGGATTTCACATGCTGTTCCTGGCATTATTTCTTGCCCATCTTTAAACCAGTGAACAGTGGGGAAAGGATCTCCAGCAATGGCACAGGATATAAGGACATTTTGCCCAGGAGCTGCTGTCACTGATCTTGGTTTGCTAATGAACCAGGGCTGAATACCATCCTGAGGTTCTGTAGTTTAAAAACACAGTTTACAAATCAAGAGAAAATGCCAAGCTTGAACGTAACTAATAAGCTAACTAACTTCAAGGAAAGCAATCACAGACAAGCAAAGTTATTTTGAACATGCAGGGTATAAGTTTTTAATCTGAAAGTAAGTCAGGCTTTAATTTTGGAAGTAACTTGTGTTGATACTAAAATTAATCATTTACTTGGCACTTTACTGGCTCAATCCAGGCTTATATTAAGAGCAAAACAAAGGGACTTTAAAGCTGCCCTAAAAGGAATCTTGAAGATTTGTCCTTAGAGAATACGGGTAGGAACAGCTTTAAGGGAAGTGACAGTACTATGACTGCCGCGCAGTTGAGTGCTCATGTAATAAATCATCATTAGCAATTGCATAAAATAGTATTTAATATAGAAGACTGACCTTGAGGCTAGATCTCAGGGGAACTTAAGAGAACAGAGGAAGGTCTGAATCCAGAGCGGACAGTGATAACAGACTTCAGACCCACCCCTGGAGGCACAGGTCTCTGAAATTCTGGGGTTAAGATCCTTTACGTTAAAAATAATAAATGCCTCCCATTGATTTCAGTAATTCTCAGTAACGACTATGGGAAAATGCTGGCATACATTAAGATTAGATAAGTTCCCTGTCTTGAAGGTAGTGAATGCCCAATCACAGAAATTTTGTAGGTACTTCAATGGTTGTTGTGGGATTTACATCATATGTTGATGTTCAAAGCCAAATTTTTTTGCAACTAGTTCCCAAATTGCAGAAATCATGTGTTCCTCACCTGCTACCACTACAATGCTAATATGAAAGCCAGGATACCTGGCTCCTAGACAGCTTTTCTGAGTACTCAAGGCTTTAATGAGAAAGAAAAACATCATTAAATAGTTTACATTAAGTCCATAGCCAAGTAAACCTTACAGTTATAATTCAAAGCTGAATTTAGCAGAAGTTTTGTACTGTCCCTAGAAATAGGACTCAGGAATGCATTTTTGAAATAGTGACATAATGTTCCAGAGTGAAAAGTTTTTTTTTAAAGTTGCTTCTGCTCAAAATTCTTTTTAATTCAGATGCAGTAACTGAGAACTCCTAGCATCCTTCACAACAGACCTTATAAACACCCATATACTTTAAACAGACACTCCTCCAGCACATTAGAATTATTTTCTTCCAGCATTTCCTAAGGTGGAACAGAACTTTATACCTTGTACTGTCAATGTAGCCTGGGTTTGAGTTTCTCCTAATTCATTCCAGGCTTCACAGGTGTATTTGCCTGTGTCTTCAGGAAATACTTCCTGGATGTACAGACTGTACTCATTGCCTTTCTTCTCAAAGTGGAAATCTTCTGTCTCCTGGATTTCTTTCCCATTGTGCAGCCAGATAATTTCAGGAGGTGGGTTAGCTGAAAAACGGGAAACAACTAAAATCAGAGAGACACACAAAAACCCACCATATATTGATTAAGAAAATGAACAAGGTTGGTTGTTTTCTGCCACCTGATTCTGCAATGTCATCTTTAAAACATTCAGGAATTTCATTACCTCTGTCGAAGCTGTGTAATGTGGAATAGTTCTGTCATTAGAGTTAAGATACAAATGAATAAGGGAAGCATGTACAGAATAGAGAGGGAGAATGAATTCTAGATCCCACAAAGGTGTTATCAAAAGTTTCTATTACCAATGTTCATACCAGGACTGCTCTTTTCTGCTGCACTAATCTTACATCTCGCTGACAGGAATTCAATCTTATTTAGTTCACAACGAAAGCTATTACAAGTCCACTGAGACGTAGTTTTAATTCAACAGCAGGATCCAATAATAACCTTCTTCTTGTTGTTATTACATTATTATTATTCCAATAAAGAAACACTTGTACAGGTCTGAACACCTTAACACTGGACAATGTTCATCCATCATGAAGGTCAGAATAGACAAAGCCAGCTTTGACTTTAAAAAAATTTATTCCTTGAAATATTATTTCCAAACTCAAGACACCTGCTTTAAGAAAAGGACAGTGGAAAAAAGCATACAATTCAGGAATTAAAATTTTTAAATAATATTGTTCTGTAGCTACGCACCTGATACCTCCACAGTCATTATCACTTGACTTCCATCCATTACTTTGAGGTCAGTCAGGCCTTTAAGGAAGATGGGCGCAAAAGTCTTGTTTAACTTGACAGCCTGTGCACCTTCTGCCTTCTTGCTGCTCTTCTTTTCTGTGAGGGGCAAGAAGAGAACAAAAGGGCTTTCTTACTGGAATTTTCATGACATTTTAACTGACCTTAGGTTTGAACTGATTTTGAGTCAGCGATCTTATTTCAGCTCACAGAAGGCAAAAAATCACTGAAACCACTGAAACCACCCAATATAGCTGGTTTGCCTTGCCAGTAGTAGAAGCAGAAAGGCAAGAATTGGGAATGAACTGTCCATCCTTCAGGGATCCTCTTAAATCATTGTTAACAGATAGAGAGTATCACACAGAAATTTACAGTCACTTTCCCCACATGCTCAGGTACAAAAAAAAACCCCAAACCCCAACAATTTGTAATCAACAATTTAATGCCTTTAATCACAGCTAAATTCACATAAAAATCTTAAGAGATGTTACAAGTTGCTATTCTCATGATTGATGAGTTAAATATGTAAAATCACAGGAATATAGGATTCACCACTCTGAAACTGCAAACCATTTTGATTGTTAGATGGTCAATATCAAATGGGTTTGAGTTCACCTCTCTTGTATTACACTTAGCCAACTGATTGATAATGGGAAAGACTGAAACCTGAGGTTACCAACACACATTATAAAAAAAGCATTGGATTAGGGCTTTTTTTTTTTTTTTGAGGCTGTACTTGAATAAAGAATGGCCAAA